AAAAAAAAAAAAAAGAGGAAGAAAAGAAAAGAAGTCAATACTAAAATAGGTAATAATAGGAGAAAAAGGAAAAGGAACGTAGCACAGATGTACACAAATAGATGGTGTACTTAAATCCAAATATATCAGTAATTACTTTTAACAAGAAATAGACTGAATGCTCTAATTAAAAGACACATTTGTCAAAGATGAGTTGAGAAAGCAAAAATATAAAATATAAAGCTACAAAAGTACTGGAAATAGAAATGATTTTATAAAAATAAAAGTATGTAACATATTTGTTGAAAATTGAATGCAAAGAGTCTATTCTGTTTAGATTACATGGTTATTATTATAGCTCTAGGTGGTAAAGTATGGATTTAGCTGCTTTTGGAGGTAGAACCCAAAAGACTTACTAATGGACATAGCACAGAACTGGAGTTTTTAATTTGTAGGAAGAGAAGTGGGTGCAAAAAGCTCCTCTTGGCAGTCCTTCTTTATCATATCCATAGTTTGCTTAGGCATCCATACTACACCCCCAGTATGGTATATGTATTGCAAGGGGTACACAGTGTTCTCCAAAGGACATAATAAACTAACAAAGTGGGAGGAATTTAATGAAATGAAAAGTTAGGTTATGAATATTTTATCTAAAATATATCAAACTATTTCTCTGTACAAATTAGTTATTGTGATGAGCATTATAAATACATTTATAAACCGCATGTATTTTGAAATTAAGTAAATGCATGCACACAGGTCCAAATCTCTTGTGGGTGAGCCTTCACATCTGGAAAGCACACTGTCCACATCTATGCCTACCAATAATTAAAATCACTTCAAAACAGGATATTGGCTAATGCTCTAAAGAGGTAAGACAAATGTTGCTGTTTAGATAAACATAAATTTCAATTAATCACTGGTATCCTAAAGAATAAAACAAAACTCAAACTCGGTAACAGAAAAAAGATTTCCTTCCCCCATCTAAAACCAATAAACAAACTATACTGACTTGTGGTTTAGATAATGCCCCAAATTTTAATCTCTAGGTTATGTGAAATTCATTATTTTTATCTTTTCAAAGTTTGCAATGAAAACCAAAAGAAGTTCTATACTTGTGAAGAAGTTTTATCACTGTCATCTTTTTCTACAAAATCAACTTTTTCTTTTCAAAAACTGAGTAAAAATATCAAAAATAAAACGACCACTTACATCATAAGTCAGTGAATCTGCTTCATTGGCCACCGTAAGACCTGCCAATTCCCCAAGTCCCAGTTCACTTTCAAGAGCTTCATCTGCTCCCATGATAAATGATTTTCCAGAAGAAGGAGGAAATGTCAATGCTTCCACTGAAAAGGGAAAACAAAAGAAACATAAAAAAAACCTCTGAAGTTGAGATGCTGGCATCGATGTGAAGAAAAGGCAACACTTCTGCACTGCTGGTGGGAATGCAAACTAATATGCTCCTTTTGGAAAGATGTTTGGAGATCACATGGGATCTAAAAATAGACCTGCTATTCAATCCTACAATTCCTCTACTAGGTATATATCCAGAAGACCAAAAATCACTTTATAACAAAGATATTTGCACTAGAATGTTAACTGCAGCCCAATTCATAACTGCTAAGTCACGGAAGAAACCCAAATGCCCCCGACCCATGAATGGATTAATAAATTGTGATATGTGTACACTATGGAAAATTATGCAGCCTTAAAAAAAGATGGAGACTTTACCTCTTTCATGGAGCTCAAACATATTTTTCTTAGCAAAGTATCTCAAGAATGGAAGAAAAAGTATCCAATGTACTATGAAACCAATTTATAGCTTTCATATGAAAGCTATAACCCAACTAGAGCCCAAGAAGAGGGGGAGGGAGGAAAGGAAGGTGAGGGGAAGGGCGGAGGATGGGTGGAGGGAGGGTAATTGGTGGGAACACGCCTATGGTGCAATTTACAAGGGTACATGTTAAATTTACTAAGGGTTGAGTATAAAGGTCTTAACACAATAACTAAGAAAATGCGGTGAAGGCTATGTTAACCAGTTTGATGAAAATATTTCAAATGGTATATACAATCAGCACATTGTACCCGATGATTGCATTAATATACACAGCTATGATTTAATTTAACAATCAAAAAAAACCTCTGAAGAGTCGACACTTAGTCTCATTTGCTTGCATCAAATTTCTCATAAAGACATGTATATATCTAATTATTTTAAATTAAATACAGTAAGTCAGTTAAATAGAAGATTTTAAAGAATTCATTGTTTTTTCCACATCTTAATCACAGATAAAGGCATCATCTAATCAGAAAAGTACAACATGAAACAAATATACCAATCTACTGCTATCTCCTCTTCAGTATATAGAAAAATAACATGACTAAATGAAAGTTAAGTTTTCCTCATTTGATATTTCATGCTGGTTACTCAAATAATTTCTGTCAATCACTAAGTATATATAACAATGATTCTGAACACTGCTGGTCTCATTCAAAATAAAATTCATTAATTCTGTAACCTGGAAGAATACAAGAAAGTCCAAATGAAAAAGATTAAAAGACAAAATTACCACTAGAGCAGGGAAAGGGTAGTGATTAGAAGATAGCATAAGCAGAACTTTTAGGGCCCTGGTCATGTTCTACTTCTTATCCTAAAGATGGGATGGGACATGGATGGGTGAAAATTCTGACGTTGTGATAATGTACTGAGCTGTACCCTTATGATTTCAGCACTTTTCTGTAGGTATTTTTATATTTCATTTTAAAATATTTGTTTCAAAGAGGTGTTTTTTTTTTAAATGTCTATTTGAACACTTTCATTAGCTGCTAACTATGCTTTAAGATGTGATAAACATGAATATACTTACTGAATAACACTAAGAATAGAAATTCCTTCAACAACACCAAAGAAAACCAATTGAGTACTTTTCTTGAGGTGGTTACTTTACTGATGACAAAAACTTGTGAGTCAATTAGATGAATTTAGTAGCTCAAACTCCAGAAAGGTAAATCAACAATTTCTTAAACGAAACAAGTCAAGGCTGGGTGCAGTGGCTCATGCCTGTAATCCCAACACTCTGGGAGGCCGAGGTGGGCAGATTGTCTGAGCTCACAAGACCAGCCTGAGCTACAGCGAGACCTCCTCTCTAAAAAAGAGCCAGGTGTTGTGCTGGATGCCTATAGTCCCAACTACTTGGGAAGCGAGGCAAGATAATCACTTGAGCCAAGAGTCTGAGGTTGCTCTGAGCTAAGACACCACAGCATTCCACCAGAAGTGACAAAGGGAGATTCTGTCTCAAAAAAAAGAAAAGAAATAAAGAAATGAGTCAACCGTATAAACTAGTACATGTAGAAAGCTGGATTTATAGAATATTTTTCACCTTAACGTTTAATCATTATCTCATAATTCTCATTGAATATATGAAAGAATGGTTACTTGGTTTTAAAAATAGTAGCATAAAACTCTACTTAAAAGTCTAAAAGTCAGAACAAAACAGGGCATAAAGATATTATCAAACCACCATGTAATACAGCAGAATAAAAATGGTCTTCACCCAAAACACTACATATTGTCTGAGGAGGTCAAACAATTTAAACATTTACTAACGGTGGGAATTGTTTAAGTAAGACTAGCAATTTTCAGGACAAAAGTTCAACAAAATGACTAATAGTGAGACTCATAAGCCTAGGTTTTCAGCCAGGTAGTATTTGTTTTCATTTGTAACATTTCCAGATAACTGTGTTCAGTGTGAAGGAGGAACTTTCTTGAGATGGACCATACATATTGTGTGGGCTAATCTTAACTAATGCTCTAAAAATGGCCAAGTAAAACCTCCAAACAAGGAAGATCACAACAACTTCTTCACACACCAGTAGACAGCCAGCAGCTTTGAGGGCTGAAGAGAGATGACAATAATGGGCATGACTGTCATTTGACTGTCCTCGAAGATGCTTCAGAACTTATGACTAAAGGTCACATTTCTAAGGGGTAAATAAACCTTACTGGCCCTAATTAGCTTTTCTTATTTATTTCAGAGACAGGGTCTTGCTCTGTCATCCACCCTGGGATTCAATGGCTAGATCAAACCTCACTGTAATTTTGAACTCTTTTGTGTTCAAGAGATCCTCCTGTCTTAGCCTCTGGAATAGTGGGAGCCACAGACCTGGACCACTACACCAGCTAATTTTGGTTTTCTTTTCTTTTTTTTGTTTTTAAGAGACAGAGTCTCACTTTATCATTCTCGGTAGAGTGCTGTGGTGTCACAGCTCACAGCAACCTCCAGATCTTAGGCTTAGGCCATTCTCCTGCCTCAGCCTCCTGAGTAGCTGGGACTATAGGTGCCCACACCAACGCCTAGGTATAATTTTGGTTTTCTTTTATTAAGATACTGGGGTCTCACTATGTTGATCAGATTGGTCTCAAACTCTTGGCCTCAAGTGATCCTCCTGCCTCAGCCTCCCAAAGCACTGGGATTATAGGCATGAGGCACCCTATAAAATTATTTAACTGTGCCATTTAAGTGTTAGATTGATTTCTGAGTTATTAAAATAAAAATAAAGTTGTATAGCACACATAGGATACAGAAGTTCTTTCTAAAAGTGCACTGGAGACCATGAAGCATCAGTAAGAGGTAAATAAACATACAATCTATTTCTTAAATGCTTTTTCTAGGGCGAGGCATAGTGGTTCACGCCTGTAATCCTAACACTATGAAAGCCCAAGGCAGGTGGATCCCCTGAGTTCAAGAGTTCCAGACCAGCCTGAGCAAGAGCAAGATCCTGTCTCCAAAAATAGAAAAACTAGCCAGCATTGTGTGTGTGTGGGGTGTCTGTAGTCCTAGCTACTGGGGAGGCTGAGGCAAGAGAATCACTTGAGCCCAAGAGTTTGAGGTTGCTGTGAGCTGTGACAATACCACAGTATACTATCCTGTGTATGCTGTGGTATCATCATAGAAAAAGAGAAAAGAAAAGAAAAACAAAAACAAAAAAACTGAAAGCAGCCTAAATATCCAAAACAGAAATGCTCTTATATAAAGTCTACAATTTATTATCTTAAAATTGTAATTATGGAAATGATTAGGATGATTTTATGTTAAGTAAATAAAACAGAATTATTCTACATGATGTATATATACCTACATGATGTATATATACATATATATATATATATATATATATATAAATGGATAAGGACTAAAGGGGAACAAGGAAAACAGAAAACAAAATGTAACTAGATTTTTAGGTGACTTTCCCCTCCCTGTGTATTTGTCAATGATAAATGCTTAAATAAAGTATTTACGAATCACAAAGTAAACATTTACTACCTATTTATAGACCCTTAATGTTGGAATGGATCTACTCCATGGGCACCTATGGAGCAAGAGCATATCCTAAACCGGAAGTTAGAGTTGGTTTGTAAGTGTGTACACCCCTTTCCAAGTCTTAAAGATTAACGTTGTAAACAAACCTCCTCAAATGTAAGAAAACCTGTATTGGGAATTTTACATGTTCAAGCATGTGCAGAGTGCTACCTACGGACTGAACTTAAGGATATATATCCACATGTTTTTTTTGTGCTTCAGTGACTTAAGTACTTGCCTTCGTCTGCTCTATTAATTTCATGTTCAGGAAGCCTTGAGCTGGTGGGTCTGGAAGGTGAACCCACAGATGGCTGCAATGAAGGAAGTTCATCAACATCCCTCAAATTAGCAAGCATATCTTGTAGTTTTGACCTATTGGGTCCTAGCCAGAAAAAAAAAAGGTGGGGGGACAAAAAAACAAAAAAGAAATAGAATTATCCAACTGCATCAAACTGGTGCTGTAAACCTTATTACACATATTTCAACATTTATCTTTAAAAATATTTTACTGGGTATTTTTAAAGTTTTCAAATTATTTAAAAGTTTATTATTTCTTGAAAAGAATATTTTACATATATTTGAAAAATTAAGCTAATGGAATAACATCACTAGATGCAAGACTGTCTTATCCAATTTAGACTACTGAAAGTAATAATACTCTATAATCAAATCATTGTATATTGTTCTAAATGCAGCCAGATACCACAGATTGTGAACCTACTAAGTACTGAATTAAACAGCAACATCCTTGTGTACTTAAATTAAGTTGCATTCACTGCCTTACATCCTGAAGCTATCATACCTGAGGTGAAGTCTCGTGCCCTGCTAATTACTTACCTGAGTTTTGATTCTTCATTCTCCCACATCCCTGTTTTGACTGTTTTATATAGGATAGAGGCTGAAACAGATCTTCGGTAGTTTTTCCTGTTATAAGTTTAATTAAGAATGGGAAAATCTTACCCATAGTCCATTATGGCTTTTTCCTAAACCAGCAAAGAATACAACTATTTTAAAGCAATTTTAACTAATGCCTAGAAATATATTTCAAGATAATATGACTGGAATACACAATTTGACTGGAAAGAACTAGACCATAATAAAACTTTTTCTAATACGAAAAAAACTTCCAGTTCAATTAAATAAAAGTTACGGTGGTTTACAAATTAGCGCTTCACATACCAGTTCAAACCTTTGCTTTAGTTCTGTTTTCACTTACGCCAGTCTTCAGTTGTTTCTAGTCCACCATTTTATCAAGATAACATGAACTGAAGATGATGACAAAATGTGCTAAAGTTCAATCTACAGTCCCCCTATCTCTAGGGAAAGACGTTAACATTTCACCCCACAGAATCATTTTTCTTCACCAACTAAAAAACCATGTGCCATATGCCTGAACATAGATCATAACCCCTGGATTCAGGAAATCCAATTGCTTCTATTAGAAATATTGTTCCAGTCAAATGGTGTGGTTTTAGTTATGTGATAAATTCTAACTATAATGATGCCTTGATAGTTGGCTTAACTAAATAATTAATATAAAAGTAAATGGATTCTACATTAAATCCTGGCTATACTTCCAATCGAAATATCTTTTACATATTGAGACACTCATTTTTGTAGCATAATGACCTAAAGAAATAAAATTAAGTTAATCTGGAAATTGCTTCTCATGTATAATATCCAAATTTCCCTTGGGTTAACTGGTTTTGTCACGGCTTTAAAAGACATGATGTATCATGTCTCTCTTTAAGATTAAATTTCTTATCAGCATAATTTGAATAAAACATACAAAATACTTTTATGTTTTAATATTAATCTTTCTCTGATTTAACCTATATTGAGGTAGCACTAAATGATATCATCTCTCAGCATATAGTGGTTAATACTATGCTAACTAACATCAATAATGGATACTGACTTTTCATCAATCCAAGCTAAATACTTAAAAATTCTAAGATATTTAGATAAATAAAGATTTAAATGTTTTAAAGTAACTACAAGATTATAAAGGAATGTCCTAAGAGGAATGACTGATCTTTAATAAGCATGACTAATCTTTAATAAGCTTCAGTGTAACTATAAAGAGAGAAAAAGAAAAAGCATATCCTTTCAGTCTTTTGTAACTTTAAAAAGTATTTGTTACTAAGTTTGATTGTAATCTCACTTTTTACTACTTTAATATCTCATAGAATAAAATTCCTATTGCCATAAAAGGGAGGTCCACATTTATATTGTCAATAAGGGTAGTAGGCCAAGGAAGGAGTTTAGCCTTGTCCTTCTAAAAAAATGTTTACAACTGTTTTCAGGAATGTTTTGAAAGCTTTTGTGTATCTATTTTGCATACTTAACTAGATCCACTACTAAACTTTATTAGTAATTTAGATAATGAAAGAGTTATACATATATGATTCACAGGGCTAGAAATTTCATTCTGCCTTCTGTTTGATGTGGCACATATTTTACTGAAAAGAAAAAAGGTAATTGGTAATATTTTATACGTGAAATTGGCCAAAATTTTAAACAAAAAAAGAAAGAAACTTTTAAGAGTTATATATTGGACTCTGTGCCCTGTATAGCATATAGTGGTACAAGCAAATAAACTGCATGTTACGGACACATGGAATATTCAGGGGTAGAAATTAACTTACTTTCTCCAAGATCTAAAATTATAAGCAATAATTTTGGTAGATTACCAGAGGGTCATATTGGATGAGCTTTATAATTGTCAGTGAAAATAAGAAGCATTGTTACAATTAAGCATACATACTTTAAAAAAATCAAATTATCACTTTCTTTGAATACATAGCTCAACACTCTCCTGAGGCTCTGGATTTGTTATTGAGATTTATTATGATTTCATAATCATATGTAGGGTTTTTAAAAGTTCATAATCAAAGAGTTAACCATGTAATTTCAACCCCTGAAAGCAGGTGAAAAGGAAAGAGATCAGGAGCAGAAATGAAAAAGAGTAAGTAGTTTTAGGAAAACATTGAAAAAAAAACTGGGAAATGTAAAAGAGGCAAAATTTATGATTTATAGATACAATGTTTTCCACTTACTCTTCACCCCCTTTTTCCCTTTTCTCTCCTTTTTGTATTGTTCCTTGAGTTTGGTAATTACTCCCTGGTCCACATTCCACGCTTCAGGCATGAGACACTGGTCTTCCTTCTCTAAACAGAGTGAAACAAATGAAATAGCCTTTTCAATAAAATATTGAATACTCTTAAGTCAGTATGTCTGAAAGATATAACAATCATTTTCTTCATAGTATCACTAAAAACATAGTCACTACTTATTTCTTAGTACATAAATCATACAAAACATAATAGCTGAGAAACAATGATCAATTCCATTTCCAAGGTAATAATAAATTTCTCGCGAAAGAAACATTTAAAAAAAAATCCTTAGAAGACTTTAATTATTTTTAGTAAATCAAGCCCAAACAATCAAGAACTGCTTATTTTCAGAATTCTGTTAGGACTGATTCACAAAAAACACCTCATACTAATGAGAGAAGATTATTATAAAAAGATTACCCAAAACAATCTCCAATGATCTTTTTATTTAGGAATTTCATATTTTTGTTGTGTTTATCAATAAGCAATGATTTTTATTGCACAGACTTTATAAATAGCATTTTATAAAGCAAATTAACTTTCATTCAAAATTTAAACTATTTATTTATTTATTTTTGAAACAGGGTCCCACTGTTGCCCAGGCTGGTATACAGTGGTGCAATCATAGCTCACTGACATCCTAAAACTCCTGCGCTCAAGCAGTACTCCTGCCTTAGCCCCCTGAATAAGAGTAGATAGGATGTATGCACCACTAGGCCCAGTGAACTTTTTTTTTTTTGGTACAGACAGGATCTTGTTATGTTTTTGCCCAGGCTGGTGTTAAAATCCTAGGCTCAAGCAATCCTCCTACCTTGGCCTCCCAAAGTGCTGGGATTACAGGTGTAAGCCACCACTCCAGGCCTAAAATTTCAAACAATTTTTTTTTTT